ACAGCCTTTCGGCGGTACGGGAGGCAAGATGAGTCAGGTGTTAAAAGCCTTCGAATGGGCGGTCAAGAACGCAACGGAAACTCCAGAGCGAAAGGGGCGCTCGGTGATCAACATGTCTATGTGTAAGACTTTCTCGCCCTGCCACAGCGCGGCTTTTTATGTGCAGATTCAGAATCTAACAGGAGCTCTCAGCGGCTGAGGTGAAAGATAATAATCAGCATGCCATGGCTATGAGCCGCCTCGTGAAGACCGCCGTTGAGCAAGGCGTCCACGTGGTCGTCTGCGCCGGCAACGACAACCAGGACGCCAGAAAGGAAGTGCCCGCCGGCCTCCCTTATGCAATCACCGTCGGCGGCATTACTAAGAACTGGAGTTGGTGGCGTCATTCAAACTATGGCCCGGAAGTCGACGTCAGCGCTCCCGCAGAAAACGTGATGAGCACTGGGCTTAATGGCACAACAGTCCGACAGACCGGAACATCGTTCGCCTCTCCTCATGTCGCCGGCCTCGCCATGTATCTCCTCGGGAAGGAGAGTGCCAACAATATCACATTGAGCTCACCTGAGGATCTGAAACGTCGCATCGTGGCCATGTCTACCAAGAACAAGATCAAGGGCATGGAGCGTACTACACCGAACAGGATTGCATTCAACGGAGCCGGGCAGTGATTGACCAGTGGGCTGTTGGGGTATTGTGCGCTTCACACGCAGCTGGCAAAGACGATGCAACTTAGTGCTTATTAGTTAGAATGCTCTGGACAGTCAATTTGATTCTATTGTTACCGCGAGGTCTACAACCGTCTGCTTCTGGATGTGAGACTCGCCACTATTCGCCCACCTGAACAGCTCATACCTTCACCCATGCAATTGCGCCCACGCCCATCTTCCTCGTCTTGCATACCCTAGCTTCGAGGACGCATGTCATGCCGAGAAGGAGGCATGTTCCCGCAAACCCTTGGGCGCCAGAGTACTTCCCCCCTTGCGCGTCGATGATCGCACCGGCGATTGGGGATCCTGTCAAGCTTGCGAAACTAACGATGGTGAAGACCATGCCCATCCGCGTGCCTTGCTTTTGAGGGTCCGCGGTCAAGCTGCTCAGCACCGCCGGAAACAGCGCCTGCACGCCGCCGACTGCGAAGCCGTAAAACACTGCCCACACGTACAACCCTGTGAGGCTAGCAACGCCCATCCAGCAGTACATGATAGTTCCAGTCATGAAGGCCATCGGGGCGAATATGTTGATTGTGCCAATCATGTCGCCGATCTGGCTCGGTATGATTCTGCCAAAGGCGCCGACGCCGTTGAGGACTAGCAGCAGGTCCAGGGAGTCGGTGAAGGAGAGGCCCATGATGTCGCGGGAAAAGGCGGCGAGGTAGTGGAAGGCGAAGTAGATTCCCCAGAAGCACTGTCGCGTTATCAGCTTTAGTTGATGGGAAGGAAGCCGTACCTCTTACCATGAAAGCCCCAACGGCGTAAAAGCTGTACTCGGACTCCTTGAAGGCTGCCCACTCGACCAGAGGAGCGGCCTGGCGGGGAGGTATCCTGGTCTTGATGAGAAGCCCGGCGATGGCCAGAGTGACCAGCTGGATCAAGGCTATTGTTCGCATTGTCCACCCAAGTCCAATCTGGGGCAAGAGCTGCCTGACCATGCTCGGGAATGCCAGGCCGCCTACCGTTGCCCCTGCGGCGGTGATACCGAATGCAAGTGAGCGGCGCTTGGCGAAATACGTCGACGTGACCGCCATGGTCGGGCAGAAGAGACATCCGTTACCGAGGCCGAGACAGATTCCTTGCGCGAGAAAGAACTGCCAGTATGTGGTACAGAACGAGGCGGCAACCATACCGAGCACAACCAGAAAGAAGCCGACGATGAAGAGGGGCCGGAAGAAACCCATGTCAGTCCAGCGGCCGGTGAAGGTGCCGACAAAGAACAGCAGAAAAACTTCGAAGGAACCAATCCATGATACGTCGGATGGCGAACGATCGAATAGAGTTGTGAAGTATGGTTGGAAGACGCCGAAAGAGTTGGCCACGCCCCTAGTATTATCAGTGAGTCTGAGTTCGTGACAAAATTTCAGATAAATCTTACCATGTGTTCATCACAACAAGATGAGTACTCAATACTGTTACTTTGTTAGCTTGACTGCAGCCGGAAAATAATAGCCGGTGATGGCTGTGACTTACCAACCATCCACGCTCTGAGCCCTCCATCTGGCGGTACATCAACAATAGCACTCGGTCGGGACGCAACCCGGCTGAGAGTTCTATGTGAGGGAGCTATGGTAGCATCTGGCCCGATTTCAACAGGAACTTCATCCGAGACCGCGGACGCGGCACTGGGTGAGCTGTCTGAATGCGACTTTTCCTGCATGATGCGCGAATGGACAGGCCCAGGTGCAGCAGTTGGTGTGCGTGAGGCTCAACTCAAATGGTTTCTCAACACCAAACTTTATTTCCCACGATCACAGTCCGCAGTAACGCTAAAAGTTTGCAACTGCAACCTGACCGGGGTCCAGACTGCGGGCAACCCTCGTTGTTGAAGGGGTTCCCCGCATCAAGGTCTTATATTCATTTTCCGATTTCCCGACTTCGGCCCAATTTGGGGCGGGAAGAAACAGGTTCGCCGGAAGCTGCTGTTTTTGGGTCGGAAAAGGCACAGCGGCCCAATTATTTAAGAGTCATGACTCCTGACCGATTGTTTCAATTATTAATGGGATTCCTTAGAAATGTCATTTACAGTGGCGGTCTAGCTCAGCGTGTTCGTGGAAGCTCTACTGGCACGAATGCAGCGGGCATCGGGAGGTAATCGGCCGACCAGGTCTCACCGGAAGTCGGGCCGGAGCCGGATCCGGGGCAAGTCGATCCACCAATTACAGGGGCATCCGTCTGTCATGCCGTCAAAAGAAGCGGAAATGCAATTTAAGAATATCATTTCTTTGCTATGTTATAATAAACAGGCGGTCTATCGATCAGTAAGGCTTGACACCAGCAAGCTTGAGCAACTTATCCGTGACCTCAGGCTTCTCAAATGGCTCCGATCGGTACTTGGGGCAAACCTCGCCATTCCTCTTTGGCTTGTCCTGTGAAGGGCGGATATTGCTACCGGCGGTCAGCTAATGCACGATCGGGAGCTCAACCGAGAAATGAAGGTGAAAACTCACCAATGAGGCCAATGCGTGGTCCCATACCAATTCTCGAAACAAAACTTCTTCGCCTCAAGAGCCTCGTCCGTCGCGAACTTGCGTGGGGTCATGCAGATGTACTGTACGTGTCTGATCTGGTCGCCCTCCGGGAAGCGGGCGTAGTGCATCGTGCGCGAGTCCCAGAGGACGAAGTCGCCAGGTTCCATGTTGACCTTGAACAGCTCGCAACCCTTGCTCTCGAACCACTTAACGTCCTTCTCGCTAAAAAGGAAGAGGTCCATGAACTTGATCTCAGGGGGCGGGGCGTCTTCGTGGTCGGCGGACTCGCGCTTGTGAGCGAAGAACTCGTCAAAAAGCTTGGCGGAGCCCCTCATGAGCATGAGCCCACCGTCTTTGGGACCGTTAGGGGCGAAGTTGAGGAGACCCTGAACAGCTTGCATTCTGATATGTGTGAGAGACGTCATTAGGATAAACCATTGGCTCAACTCACCCTTTCCTCTCGGGGTTCTGATCGCAATGTGGCCAAGGGCTCCAGGTAATGTCTTTGCGGTTCGGCATGGAGATGTTCATGCCGTCGAATGAAGTGATGAGCTCCTTGGTTTCCCAGAGCTTCTCAAACACCTCGATAATCTTGGGCTCCATTCGGGCTTCCCAGGCCATCTTCTCGTGGGACGCGCCATATGCGGAGTACATACTGTTCATGAGGTCAGCATTGCGAGTTAGACTTTTGTGATGTAAACACTCACCCTCCCTTGAAGCTCACAGGGAGATGATCAGCAGTCCATGTCGAAGGGTCCTTGTCGTCAAAACCAAGATCAAACTTCTTCAACCACTCAATCTGCTTATCGCAATAGTACTGAGCTCGTTCCGGCCTGATGACGTTCTTGATGACCACACAGCCGTTCTTGTGAAACTCGTCGCGCCAGTCTCCATAGTGCTTGTCTGTGTCAAATGTGACAAGATCTTTGGTCTCGAATTGTGTGGCGAATGTCCTCTTGACCTCAGTGTCGGTCACTGTCTGCGTCTCCGTGGCCATGTTTGTGAAGTGAAAGTAATTTGTCCTACGATTGGGCTAAGATGCAGGAACTTGATGATGGGGTTGCGATGACAACGTCGGACAGGTGTGAGGATCAGCAGTTTGAGTCTTTCACTTCGCAGCGAGGAAGGCGTCTGTTATAAGCCACCAGCTTCATTTCATTGTCGCTATGAAGGCCTCATGTCGGCCCTCGTGACCATTCGTAAGCCCCCGAAAGTAAGTGTCCGTGGTGCCGAGCCCCGTTCGGGGAAGGTCTGGGCCGGGCCGGGTAGTCGGTTCGGTTCGGTTCGGGAGTTGTGGGTATGCAAGAAGCGCGTTGTCGATCCCCCATCCGGGCCAAAGAGGCCGGCATGAAGTCTTTGGAGACTGATGTGATCTCACGCGGGGTAAATAACGGGGACTAGCATAGGAGAACAACGTCGTGTGGTAGCGGAGACTGCCTCCATCGTGCATAGATCTTGCCACATTCCCGGGACGGAAGCGCTTGACGCCACAGCTGGAAAGTAGAACCCTGGTAGCCGAATAAATGGAGTCCCGCCCTTGCAAGATGAACCCTATCGTCTGTCAACTAAGCGCATCTGGAAGATGTTCTACGACCACTCAAGCACAGTAGGAAGCGGCTTAAGGTGGCCATCATGTCCAATCATGGCATAAATCATGTTCTATTTAATTCCAGGTGGTCTTGCACCATCTAGAGTCTTCTCCAGGAACAGATCTCCACAAGTCAACAGTCTGGAAACAAAGGAGAATACAATTAGAACAGCCAAGAGCCGTGCAAAGGTTTCACCCGTGATCGTTGACAGAATTTTCCTCAGATGTGGTTTATGTTCGATCTTCCCAAACACGCCCCTCATCTTCTTCTTCCTGGTAATGCAGTCTTGACAACCCGTATGCGTCGTTGGAAGCCAAAGTGTAGAAAAGCATCAGAGCCGCGAACGTAGTCCAGATAGCGAGGATAGTGTCGATGATTCCAACGTAAGCCGAGCCCCACCAAACCATCGCCAACGACATCACGGTGGTGATAAAGCCCCAAATTCTTGCAACGAGCCAAAGGGATACTGCGATGAGCAAAAGGGTGGCAGCCTAATGAAAAATGAACAAGTTAGTAAAGAGAGTTCATCTGCGAACTATCCCGTCGTTCGTTTCAAAAGGAAGTCTCTCACCTTCTGAACAGGGCTACCCCTGGCCTTTCTCTGAGCCTGAAAAGCATAGATCGTCATGCCGACGGCAGAAATCAGAAACATGCAGTTAACGCTAGCTGACATATACTCATAAGCCAATGACAACCTGATCGCGTTGTCCCAATCTCCTCGCACGTAGCGATCCCTCCCTGGTAGAACCTTGAACATGATCTGAGAGGCGATATAGCAGCAGAAGACTGCTACCTCTACGAGAGCAATCAGAGCTGACCCGCCAAATACTACCTTTCTGCGAACGGAAAAGGTCCTGGAGTCATCAGTCGTAGCACTGCCACGGAGCTGATCCAGGGCGTGGGCGAGGAAGAAGAAGGCAAGAAGAAGGGCGAGTTGCCCCAGTGTGCTAAGCAGCGAGCCGACAATATAAATGTAGGGAGTAGTATAATCTGGGCCAAAATAACCCTTGCCGTTTTGCCGCTGGGAGTATTCGACCGCGTAGATAATCCAGCAGACGAGAATAAGAAGTTGGGATCTTTTGAAAATCGACAAAGTCAGCATCTTATCGACCGAGGAGGTTACGCCACGCATGTTCGAGCAGATGCCCTGTGAGCTTGTATGACATGTAGCCCGCAGTGTCGAACACTGCGCACTGAAAAATGAAGAGAAGACACTCACATGCTCCAGAGTCCTAAGGCTGCTTTGGTAAAGTCGACCCATCGGCGCGTGGGGTCATGCTTGGCTCCGAGTTTACGAAGAGCAAGAGCAGAGACCCCCAAGGCCGGGAGGATGACTAGTCCCGACAGGACACTTCGGACTATGTATCCTGTTATGTACGGTTGCCAGTCCATGTTGAATTTTCTCGCTCGATTCGAATTATGTCGTGGTATGTTAAGAATTAAGGGATTATGGTGTTGCTAGTCGAACTTTGGGTTGTTGCCGAGACGATCTTGAATTCATGGAGCAATAAAGTCACAGAGGATCGGGTCGACAACAAGCTTAAGTATTACCCCAAATCAAAACCAGACATGTGAGCCCACGATCTTGGCGATTCACCATCCAGCTATGGACCAATGTGCTGTCGATTCGAGCCGGTCTCTCACCCTGGCCGGGCGACTGCTGTGCCGCATTAGCCCCTGTCCTCGTAGGCTTTAGCCCCGTAGAGATGGGCCAGGCTAGACTGAGTTGGGTAGCATACACGGCTTCAGGGCACACGGCCAAGGAAAATTCGATGACATAGAGCCTGTAATCGCCAACGAAAATGTGCAAAAGAAATGTCATCGCCCTATGCGGTTGGTCACCCGCACACGGCCCGCTTCACTCGTGGGGCGGGCGCAAAGCTGCGCCCCTCAAACGACCAGTTGAATCGGTAGCGACTTAAAAAATGCAGGCAGCAGTCAATTATTACTCGGAAAACATCAGTTGTGAAAGTGACTGCCTGACAGGATCCCGTGATGTTGAAATAACGTTGTGGTTCTAAGGAGTCGGGTCCTGAGCCACGTGCGCATGATTCGCCTTCGATTGTAACTTGGGCTGCCACGCTGCCAGGGTTAGATCGTAAGACATCCTTTGCGTTCGGTGGCCAGCAGGCCCCATATTTCAAGCGTATCAGTCGTATCTGCATCTAGGTGGCTGAGGCTCACTGCATTGCTATCGAGTCCAACTCACCCAACCTTCTCAAAACACTGTCTTCAGGCTTCCTCAACTGGCGGATCGCCCAGAGAAGGCTTCAAACATCTCCAAATAATCGGCTGAAATCTATCTTAGTCTAAATTTGAAACTCAAACGCCCTGTGAACTGGAAAGCCAGGGGCTGTGGGCCGATTCCTCGTTGCAATAGATCCTTCGCCTCGTTGGATAGTCATCTTTGATGCATTTCACACATGTCGTTGACATCAGCGAGGCCCTTTTTCTAGAAGCCACTCGCGTATATTCCAGAACTCATAATGGATAGGCGCGGAACTTCCAAGACACCACAGCGGAACTCTTTCATTCGCAGACACAGAGGCATTTCAGTTCGAGGACACTCCAGGGCTTACCAACGCCACAGGCAAGGTACTGAATCGAATCCAGGACACTCTTAAAAGACATTTGCTCTCCAGTTGAATACTTCTAGCTAACCTAGCAGAGACCTACAGAGTGCCTATATTTAGTCTAATACTCACTCTTTGATTTTCATCAGTTTATATACTTCTTTACTAATTTTTCTACTTTTATTCCACATCATCTGTTATTACTATTGTGGTTATTCCCGTCGTCGTCGTCGTCTTTGCCCACCAACCGCCTAATAGATGCAAGTTTTCGCCCGCATAGCAAAACTCAGGAGCGCTCGCGCTCTAACTCTACAAGTGGACACAGCGTAGAGACCTTGGGTAACAATTAGAATTCAGTCTCTAGCGTACTTGAAAATCGAACATCGTTAAGTATGTGTACTGCGTGCCGGAGTTCGAAAGCAATAATAGCCTGTGGTGGACTTGCCAATGGTGCTTGATACGATCCACGAATGAGAACCTTTGTCAATTTGACCAACATACGCACATTGAGACAAGTTGAGTAAACTCATTTCAAGGTTGTCTAATTGCATTTGGGAGGTCTCGGGACAAAAGGACCGAAAGCTGCAGAAATGACAAACATGTATCGCCATTGATAGCAACTCTCCCAACAGGCTATTCTGATAAATTCTTCCCGTCACGATAACAAGTCGAAGCGTGCGAGTTAGATGTTTACGCTTGCAACTTTGAAGTTGGTGTCCCTGAAGGGCTGCATTGCTTGCTCACTTGGTCTGTGTTAAATCAGCAACACTGTCTAAACACAGCAACCGCCGTGCCGAAAGTGCCGAATGGTAGTCATACATGTAGTTAGTCAAGACGCAGAATACTAATGTTACTTATCGCAACTTAGCGGCGAGATTTGACTGGACATGATTTCTATGCTTTCAGCTCTTGATCTACGCGATGCAACCTTCTCGTCATGTCTTGCAGCTCTCTGCATTCAAGCCCACGATGGAAATAGTACTTCCGCAACCGACCTTCTATCGCTGCAAGTTTCCTTGGCTTAGCGTCAACAGTTACATCCAATGTGACCATCATCGGCACACAATTCCAGGCAGATCCTCAAAAGCGGGCAAAAGCTTGCTGAGTGCCGCGCCAATTGAGTCGTGGCCCGCGTCTACCCCGACATGCGGGGGACACCAGTCAGGGGTTAGCCTGCATAAGCCCTGGATTAACATGCCATCAGTAATTGACTGCAACCTCCCCTCCGCTACCGAGGATGCGCACCAGTAGTGGACGAGTCTGAACGGTGGCAGTGGACCGCTGAGCATCACGAGATCCGCTCTATTGAACCAAGCTAAGTTCGCCTTCGTATTCCCCACGGGGAACGATAAAGACCGCTAAGATTACCCGTCATGCCCATCTAGTATAATAAGCAGGGATGTCCACGTTATTTCGACGGGCTTTCCGTGATGTTATTAGGCTCGACAAATCTTCAAGACAACTCCCTTGGTTTCTGATCATCGTTGGCTTCAGCGTCTACCGCTAGCAAGATGTGGTTAAACGCGCAAACCTGCCAGGGTCTGGCAGCCCTCGCGCTCTCCCTGCTGTCTGCAGGGGCAAATGCTCAGGCAGTGCCTCCTGTGAACCAGGAGAAGGGAGTCTCGGCTTGGGCCTTTGACATGAGCGAAGTCACTCTCAGCAGCGGGCGCCTCTTCGACAACCAAGCCCGTACCCTCACCTACCTGAAATGGGTCGATGTCGAGCGGCTGCTTTACAACTTCCGCAAGAACCACGGTCTGTCTACGAACAACGCGCAGACCAACGGCGGTTGGGATGCCCCCGACTTTCCTTTCCGGACGCACTTCCAGGGCCACTTCCTCAACGCCTGGGCTTTCTGCTATGCTCAGCTGCGCGACACCGAGTGCAAGGACCGGGCGACGTACTTTGCGGCCGAACTCAAGAAGTGCCAGGAAAACAATGCAAACGTCGGCTTCAACACTGGTTACCTCTCCGGATTCCCCGAATCTGAGATTACTGCTGTCGAGGACCGCAGCTTGTCCAACGGCAACGTCCCATACTATGCCATCCACAAGACCATGGCCGGCCTTCTCGATGTCTGGCGCCACATTGGTGACACCAATGCTCGCGACGTGCTTCTGGAAATGGCTGCCTGGGTCGACCTCCGCACGGGGAAGCTCACGTACGCTCAGATGCAGAACATGATGAGCACCGAGTTTGGTGGCATGAACGAAGTTATGGCGGACATCTTCCATCAGACCGGTGATCAACGCTGGCTCACAGTTGCTCAGCGTTTTGATCACGCGGCGATCTTCGACCCTCTTGCGTCCAACCAAGATTCTCTTAACGGATTGCACGCGAACACGCAGGTCCCCAAGTGGATTGGTGCTTCTCGTGAGTACAAGGCCACTGGAACAAGCCGCTACCAAGACATCGCCCGCAACGCATGGAACATCACCGTCAGCGCCCATTCGTACGCCATTGGAGGAAACAGTCAGGCAGAGCACTTCAGACTTCCCAATGCCATTGCTGGATTCCTGAACTCGGATACCTGCGAGGCTTGCAACACTTACAACATGCTCAAACTGACGAGAGAGTTGTGGTTGACCAACCCGAGCGCTACTCACTACTTTGACTTCTACGAGAGAGCTCTCCTGAACCACCTTCTTGGCCAGCAGGACCCCTCAGATAGTCACGGCCACATCACGTACTTCACTCCATTGAATCCTGGCGGCCGTCGTGGTGTCGGCCCTGCTTGGGGCGGCGGTACTTGGAGTACCGACTATGACTCGTTCTGGTGTTGCCAGGGAACCGGTCTTGAGACCAACACGAAGCTGATGGACTCCATCTACTTCTACGACAACTCCGCTCTCTACGTCAACCTGTTCGTCCCGTCGGTGCTTCGCTGGACTCAACGAGGTGTTACCGTCACCCAGACAACTGACTTCCCCCGTGGTGACACCACTACTCTCAAGGTCTCTGGTTCTGGACAGTGGACCCTTAGAGTTCGCATTCCGTCGTGGACTTCAGGCGCCCAGGTCACCGTCAACGGACAAGCTGTCACTGCAACGTCTGGCGCATATGCTGCGATTGATCGCACTTGGGCTGACGGCGACACCGTTGTCGTCACGTTGCCGATGAAGCTGCAGACGATCGCCGCCAATGACAACCCCAGCATTGCGGCACTGGCGTTCGGCCCGGTCATCTTGAGCGGTAACTACGGCAGCGACACGCTTTCTGCTGTGCCGAATTTGAATTTGGCCTCGGTCAAGAGAAGCGATACGACTGGTCTTACTTTCACTGCAACTGCAGATGGAAAGACAGTGGACCTTGGCCCGTTCTACGATGCCCAGGGATTTAACTACAATGTCTACTGGTCTGTCAGTGGCAATCTGCCGGCCTAGAGCAATGTTCAATGCAATCTTAGCGAGGGCACGCATGTAAAAAAGAGCGTTTCGATGGATTTCATGTAAATACTTCTTTGGACAGTGTGCACGTACGTATCGACAGTCAACCGAGACTAAATACATATTAAGTGGTTGATACCAAGCTTGGGCTACCTGCTTCCACCCTCAGATATGCAAATCTTGACCATCCCTAGCGGCCTTAACACGCACACACTGCGCCATAACCCGCAGATAGCGGTCGTACGCGTCGGTCCCGATGACAAAAGGATGCTCGCCTCCTGCAGGTCTGTGATCAAGGAGATCGAAGCTGTACAGAGACCGATCCTGTGTCTGATGATTTGCCACAAGCGTGTCCACGCCCGCCTTCGTAGCCAAGTCTGCGAAGCGATTGAACGAGTTGATCTGATTTTCCTTGTCCGTGGCAGTGCTTGGG